TCAACGAATCTATAGCTCGCGTAGAGGTACGAAGTCGCTCGACAGATCTAGTAAGATGTGTAATATGAATACCTTTACGCTTTGCGGAAATATAAGGAGTCATTTTAGGATTACAATTCTGAGTACTATGCCCAAGATGAACTCAAGCCTCCAACATATCTTCCAAATTGATGTTCCTATATTTTTTTTTCATTTATCTTGCTCCATCTTTTTTATTATTTTTTCCGGACGTCTATCTAAGCCCCAATGTTTATAATTTATCTATGGAATAAGTTTTTTTCACTAACCCAACTAAGAGGGGTTTATTAAAACGAAAGAATTTGGGCTGGGGACAAAAAAAGATCTCGAATGCCCCCTAAAAGAACTTGCTTTTGGTAGTTTCAAAATCAATTTTCATATCGGAATTTAAAGGCGTGCACAAAATCTTTAACTTGTAAAGTATTATCCTAAAACAACGTTTTCTTTGCATCCTTTGAACCAAGAAATATGCCCACCGAGAGCTCCTTTTAGAAACTCCGAGCAGTTTTTTAAAAGATAAAACTTTTAGGATTAATTAATGTTGTTATGAGTCCCAATAATAAAGACTTGAGAAGAAATTGCTTATTCTAAGGTGCGAACCCAATAAATTATTTAGGCAAAAAAATCTTTTTATAGTTATACTTTTCAAATCAAAGACTTTTTATTAGATCACCTTATTTTTCTTTTTTTTATAGTGATATTTCCTTTAAATAAATTTTATCCAAAATGGAGATACACGGTTGATCCTGACGGTACTTAGCCAATCAGATTACTCTAAAGTTAATTTGAACCTGAATAACTTGATCCAAGTTAAAACGGTTATTATAGTTCTATATTTATATATAGATATGTGCATTTTCATAAAGAAACTGTCCAAGTCATAGTATTTTTGGAATTTTAAATGTTTCGTTTGAATATAAATTGGTAATAAAAAAATAGTTTAATTTGAATACTTGACGAGATTGTCGAATTAAAACTAGTGAGTGATGAAGATCTTAATAGCAAATTAAATTGGAGTTAGTAATTCTTTAGGTCTTTCTGAGAACTTTTGTTAGAATTCTTGGGCGATGACTCTTATCGTATGAGGGTATTTTTTGTAACCGTGCTCGGGTTCATTTGAGAACAACTCGACGAGGAAAAAAGACTCAATAATTTAAAAAATTTTCTTAAGACTCCCCTCGATGCATTTATTCTGAATAACCGGTGGATAGAAGAATGGCAACCTAATTATAAAGCTTTCCTAATTGGAAACTTAAAGAAATGTAGATTTATTTTTGCCAAACGCAGTTGAAAGGGGGGCTAAAATCCATACAAAAAAAGTGGAATAAACTAAGGTTTTTTAGGAAGAGCCTTCCAACAAGAAACTCAGTTTTTTTTTTGGCGATATGGCCGAGTGGTAAGGCGAAGGACTGCAAATCTTTTTTTTCCCCAGTTCAAATCTGGGTGTCGCCTGATCAATTTGATTTTTCTTTTTTTAATCGTTTTATTTCATTAATCAATTTGTTTTGGTTCGACTCAAATTAGATATCCATAAAAATATTTTAATTTATACCTTTGCGTTTTTTATGAATTTTTTTTATAAAAGATTAAAAGAAAAAAAAATAAAGAAACGAGTCTATCGTTAAAAATTATTCATTTCTATATTTATGATTAGGACGAGTTCCTTGTATGATTATTAGATCATGGGTCTTTTTAAATGCTACATGAGGGAGTCCACCATTCTTGTTAGTGTATTATAAAAAGTTTGAATCAAGTGTTTTTTAATTTGTTTAATTATTAATTATAGAGATAGGGGAGAGAATTTACGACATAAATATAGATATACTAAGTATGGCTTGGGCTGCGTTAATGGTAGTCTTTACCTTTTCCCTTTCACTAGTAATATGGGGAAGAAGTGGACTCTAGAAGTGCTGCTAATTTGAATTTTGGGGAAATACAACTATTTCACTTTGATTCTTTGTATAATACAGCGTTATGCACGACCTTGATAATTCTAATAATTTGTAAATAAAACCTCTATCCCCATGTCTTTCGTTTCAACTATTTACAACAAATAAATATAAATATCGAATAGATAGTCTGGGTTTCATTTTTTTATAAACCCTCACTATCTATTTATACATAAATACAGGTCATTTATGGTTCTTACTTTAGTATATGGCGGAGTTGATCGCTTGTTTATCAGTCACATTAAAAAGATGTCCTACAATTTTTGCTATAAGTGGACTCAAAAGGAAAGAGTTCTGGAAGTAACTAATTATTTTGACTTACTGTTTTGACATAAAGAATCAGGAGAAGGGCAGTCGGGAATAGAATCAATAGGGCAGTAGCACTAAATGCAAGAATATTGACTTCCATAGTTCCTTCCTTTTTTACGGCGTACTAACTCGGGATTTAATCCCAGAGAAAAATTTTGGTTTGTTATAAATTAATAACTAGGTATTGGATTCGTCGGGACTGACGGGGCTCGAACCCGCAGCTTCCGCCTTGACAGGGCGGTGCTCTAACTAATTGAACTACAATCCCTGGAAAAAGGGATATAAAATAAGGTTTTATTTTTGTAGCTCTCTATATCCTAAATGGGCCGAGCTGGATTTGAACCAGCGTAGGCATATTACTAACGAATTTACAGTCCTTTCCCATTAACCACTCGGGCATCGACCCAGGAAGAATTAAAATTTAAATTTTTACAGAAACTTGGTAATCAATACTAAAAGTTTTTTTAGAGTACCTACCCCCAGGGGAATTCGAATCCCCGTTACCTCCGTGAAAGAGAGATGTCCTAAACCACTAGACGATGGGGGCTTACTACTTAACTACATTTCTTTAATTTTCAATATTTCGAAACTCCCACCTTCTTTTCTAATTTTTTGAGTTTTAAAAAGAATTTCACGGAAAAATTAAGCACGTGTTTATTGCATGTACATAAACAAAATACTCTATAACGAGAAAGTAGGAATAATTCCATGTTATGGAACATACGAATAATCCAGAGGAAACAGATAGTATCTATTCTAGATGTTGAGTCTCTATTAAAGTCAAGTGAATAAGCCCCTTTAACTCAGCGGTAGAGTAACACCATGGTAAGGCGTAAGTCATTGGTTCAAATCCGATAAGGGGCTATCCATTTGAGTATTTTTTTTAGGAAATTTAAAAAATAAACTCCAAATTCCGAACTATTCAAAAATTAAAATGTTCTTTTTAGTTATTGTATAGATTTTATACGAAAAAAAGAAAAGACCTTATAACGTATAAGACTTCAAAATTAAAAAATTCACGACAAAAAGGTTGACTCTATTCATTTAATAATGCGTCAAGCGACTATTCTCATATTTTTATTTTATATTTTAAAGAAGAAATATTTAGCTATATATATACTGAGCATGAAGAAAGACTATTTTTATTTTGATCTCTAGCTGATTTAATAAAAACCGAAATTAAAACTTATCACTTTAATTTTTAGTAGTTGGTCTGAAGATACGTGATAGTGGGCAGTCAGTATAATTGTCATTGATGAAATTAGTATTTAGTAATATTTATTAAATATTAAAAGGTGTTTCAAATATCAAATAATTTAAAATAAGACTTGAGTTACGTTCATGAATTGACCCCAATCCTTATATGGACCAATTAAGGAAGAATTGGATCTTCGAAACCCATTGGAAACCACGGTTCGAGATACATGAATAAATATTACCGCAAGAACAAAAATTTTCAGATGTAATAAAACCAAAAATTCGATATATATCTACTTAACTCAGTGGTTAGAGTACTGCTTTCATACGGCGGGAGTCATTGGTTCAAATCCAATAGTAGATCTAACTAACTTATTAGATATGGATCTAATAAGTTTTTCACCACCTTTCTGTTTTTTTTATGAGTGCATTGCTGGCCTTTATCCGTGTTTGAGCACGACGTCAAGCGAAATTTGCCTCAATTTGTTGTCCAAACTTTTTTCCAAGTTTGTCTCTGCCACTTTCAGAGTTTCCTAAGCTTCTTGTCACGTAATTTTACTACCTCACTTTGGCATCTTTTACCAAGATAGTGATTGCATTATTAGCTATTCGAGCAACTCCGCCCATCAGAGCAATTGAAAACCATTGGCCATTAGAGTTTAGTCTCAAAATCCCTATATCGAGAGCAGTTGCAATAGGGATGTGATTCGGTAATATTCCAATTTGTCCACTACTGGTAGATAAAATGATTTGTTCGACTTCTGAATCCCAAACAATTTGATTTGGAGTCAGTACACAAAGTTTTAATTAGGTCATTTAATAAAAAAAATTTCCTATTCTAACATCGCTTTTGCGTTAACTTCATCAATAGTACCTACCAAATAAAAAGCCTGTTCCGGAAGATCATCGAATTCCCCAGAAAGGATCAAAGTACATCCCCTAATAGTTTCTGCGAGACTAACATATTTACCTGGCGAACCAGTAAATATTTCTGCTACGAAAAAAGGTTGGGATAAGAAACGCTCAATTTTTCGCGCTCTTGCTATAGTTTAACGGTCGTCGTCCGATAATTCATCTAACCCAAGGATAGCTATAATGTCCTGCAGTTTTTTATAACGTTGTAAAGTTTGCTTGACTCGTTGCGCAGTTTTATAATGTTGCTTACCAACGATCTGCGGTTGTAACATCATTGACGTTGAATCTAAGGGATCAACTGCTGGATAAATACCTTTCGCAGCTAAACTTCTTGAGAGCACAGTAGTTGCATCTAAATGAGCAAATGTTGTAGCAGGAGCAGGATCTATTAAATCGTCGGCAGGTACATAAACTGCTTGAATCGAGGTTATGGAACCTTCTTTGGTAGAAGTAATTCTTTCTTGTAAAGAACCCATTTCGGTACTCAAGGTTGGTTGATAACCTACAGCAGAGGGCATTCGGCCTAATAAAGCCGAAACTTCGGATCCCGCTTGGACAAAATGAAAGATATTATCAATAAAGAGAAGTACGTCTTGCCGATTCACATCCCAG